TTTCACTATTCTTCTTTCCCTGTGGTGACTTCACTTTCCAGTTTAGTGCATTAGGTTAATGCACAATCTCTCATCTTTTACTAGTATCCTAGTGTTACAAGGACACCCTGTTGGATTAGTGTCTAAGCCCGTAACTATTTTGGTATGTATTTGACCCGGTTGTGCATGGTCCTTTTGGGTTGCCTTCACCAAAGCAACTTGATAGGATGATTTATGAAGAGAAAGGTTATTATGATTTATTAATATATTATAAGAATAATATATTAAAAGAGAAATTATATTGTTTAATTAATATTAGTCAAGAACTAATAAGAATTAATTTTGTGGCTAAAAGAGATTAATTAAATAAAGGGGACTGATATTGTAATTATAAGATAATTGCATAAATTGGGCTAATGGACTCCATAGAAGTTGGAGTGGACGAAATCTATGGGGAAACCCATTAGAATTCGTCCAAGGCTTCTAAGGAGGGAGTCTATGGGCTGCTTAGGCCCTAAGCAGTCAGATTAGGGTTTCCTGGTTGAAAAAACCCTAATAGCCTAACTATATAAGGAACCCCTAAGGCCCCAAAAACGTGTGGAAGTAATCCCTAAGGGTTATTAGACGTTTTTGGTGCCTCTCATCCTCTCTCCTCTTCATCATTCTCTTGCTCTTGGTGTTTGTGAGCCATTAGAGGTGTGACACTAAGCTTCTTGAAGATCAAATAACTCTTGTAACCATTGAAAGGTAAGATCTAAACCCTAATTCATATGTTAATTCGATTATTGTATGCTAGATCTAGGGTTTATAAGATTTGGATGATTATTGCATGTTCATTAGACAAACTAGATCCAAAAGCTTTAGGGTTTTGCATGTACACCATAGGATTGTTGTAGTGCTCAAAACCCATCAGTGGTATCAGAGCCTAGGCTGTTTGTTTGATGTATTTGATGCTTATATGATCATTCTTGGCATGAAAATCGAATTTTTTGTCCTCTGCATGACTGACTCGGCGAGTCAGTGGATGAACTCGGTGAGTCAGCCTGACTCGGCGAGTCCAGTCCCTGACTCGGCGAGTCCTGGGGTCAGACAGAGGATATTTCGGGATTTTTTCGGATTTTGGCTAACTTTTGATGATATATAATTACCATAAACGTTTTTTATTGATAAAATCCGACTTTTATTGATATTGTGTGATTATCCTTGCCAAAATAGAAGATAATTGTCATTTAATTGAATTATTATTTCCTTATATGATAAAATTTGATTATTTGAATTATTTGATGAATTGTTTTGCAAGAAATTGGATTATGTCAAATTTAGATAACCACCAATTAATTGTTTAATTGTTATTATTTGCAATTTGATCTAGAATGTTCTTGATAATGTTTTGAAAAGTTTCAAAACTTGCCCTCAAGTTTTGGAATTTAAATTTTTATTAAAAAGTTTAATTTCGAAATATTTAAATTCTAAACCTTAATGTTTTGAAAAGTTCAAAACTTGCCCTCAAGTTTTGGAATTTAAAATTTTGATTAAAAGTTTAATTTTGAAATATTAAATTCTAAAACCCTAGTTTTTGAAAAGTTCAAATTACACCCTTATGGTTTTATTAAGTTAATGAAGTGTATAATTAAAAGAGAGTTAATAAATCTATAATGATTTGGTTTACATTTAATTAAATTAAAAGTATAATGTATTAAATTAGACCACATAGTATTTTAAAAAGTGTAAAATACACCTTACACTATATAAAATTTAAAAGTTGAACATATTATATATGTATGAGTAAAGAGTCAGTCTTACCGTTAGTAGGCCTCATTCACGAAGCTGGTCTCTAAGGGGTGTTTAAGGAAATTGCATATAAAATGGCGATTGAATGGGTATCCACTCTTACCCACCGCACTCTTGACTAGTGGAGGGTCGTTAGCCAAACGGGTAGGATAGGACACAACCTTCCATTATAAGTATAATGAAATACGAAGTAACTAAACACTTTTATAAATTCCCAAATCTTAGTTACTTTAGGTTTGATACTTATTTAACCTTATTAACCAACTTATAATCATTATTAGAAAGACACTACAATTTATCACTTTTAACTATTTACAAAATATTATTTGGGTTATTTAAGTTGAACTAAAATTTATATTTAAGTTGATCCTATAAGGTTATATTTAAATTAACAATTTAAGTATTTTATACAAATTTTTCAAAAGTTGTAGTTTAATAATAATGGTTTACATACAACAACATATTAGACCTAATAAATTAAGTATAATATGTTAAAAGTTAAAAACATAACTTTATAAGTACAAGAAAATATATTCTTTTAGTATTGAAATTTAGTTTATATATGATTACACTTTAGGTTTGATATTTATTTAACCTTATTAACCAACTTATAATCATTATTAGAAAGAAATTGAAAAGTCATGAGAGTTTCAAATGAATGTGGTGAAAGGAAAAATGCTTCATTTATAGGTATATATAATGAAAATCGAAATTATTTTGAACAATAATATTCATTGACATCAACTCACCTTCCTCATTAATAGATTAAATATAATTATCTATTTAGTATTATTTTAACAATTTGTTATGATTGATTAACTATATTTTTACTTATGCAATCATTTTCTCTTTTCAATAATGATATTCATTTAAAATACAATTTATTTGTAGCTAAATGTAATTTATAATTTGATGTTATTATCATTTAAACATATTATTCATTAATTTTAAACCACTTATTATTAATAATAAGTTAAAGAATACTTTTAAGAAACACTTAATAATATTATTAAAATGTGAAACATACACTAAATAATAAAGTGATAAGATAGACAATTTTCATTTCAAAAAGGACTTGCTTGGATAATATGATATATCCATGAGTTTTATAATTTGATTTTATTATTTATAATTATTGTTCATTAATTTTAAAACCACTTATTATTGTTTATAAGTGAAAGAAAATTTTAAAAAGCACTTATTATTATAATTAAAATGTTAAACATATACTAAAATATAAAGTGATAAGATAGACAATATGTATTTTAAAAGAGACTTACATGAATAATATGGATAATATGACATATCCATGATTTTTAATTAGTTATTGCTTTGAAGCAACACGAACATACAAACATGTATACAATAGTTAATTAAATATTATATGTATCATCTTCTATAACATATGATCGATAACATGAATCTAATCTAATTTACATTAAATTTTCAACCATAACATACAATTATGTTCTTAAAAGAATACTTAAACCAAGAAAATATAAAAAAGAATTAGTATATAAAAACTTACAAATTATAAAACTTCAATATAATAATATGGCTCGAAAAATGGTCCAAAGCCCTCAAACCAACGCAAAAACCTTTAAACTTGTTTTCTTTGTGAATTTTATATGTAAAATGGTTATGTTATTGACATTAACTTTGAGATAATATTTTTACACTAATTTATATATATAAAATCTTAATTATTTTGAACAATAATATTCATTGACATCAACCCACCTTCATCATTAATAGAATTAAATATAATTATCTATTTAGTATTACTTTTAACAAATATTATGATTGATTAATTATATTTTTACTTATGCGATCATTTTTAATTTCAATAATGATGTTCATTTAAAATACAATTTTTTTGTAGCTAAATGTAATTTATTATTTGATGTTATTATCATTTAACATTATTATTCATTAATTTTAAACCACTTATTATTAATAATAAGTTAAAGAATACTTTTAAGAAACATTTGTTATTATTATTAAAATGTGAAACATAAGCTAAATAATAAAGTGATAAGATATACAATATGTATTTCAAAAGAGATTTGCATGGATAATATGATATATCCATGATTTTTATAATTTATAATTATTATGCATTAATTTTAAAATCACTTATTATTGTTAATAAGTGAAAGAAACTTTTAAAAAACATTTATTATTATAATTAAAATGTTAAATATATACTAAAATATAAAGTAATAAGATAGTCAATTTGTATTTTAAAAGAGACTTACATGGATAATATGTATAATATGACATATCCATAATTTTTAATTAATTATTGCTTTGAAGCAACACGAACATACAAACATGTATACAATAGTTAATTAAATATTATATATATCACATTCCATAACATATGATCGATAACATGAATCTAATATAATTTACATTAAAATTTCAACCACAACATACAATGATATTCTTAAAAAAATACTTAAATCAAGAAAATATAAAAAAAAATAGTATATAACAAACTTACAAATTAAAAACTTCAACATAATAACATGGCTCGAAAAATGGTCTAAAGCCATCAAACCAACACAGAAACCTTTAAACTTGTTTTCTTTGTGAAATTTGTATGTGATTTGTATTTGTATGTCTACTCAAAGAGATTGACATTTTTATAGTAGACTATCCATTAATTGTTTATTAAATATATTATATAAGTTATAAAACATTTGAATTGTTAATTATTATTAAGAGACTTTTGAGTGATATTCATTAAAATAGGAGGTTTCAAATACATGAGGTGTTTGCAAATTTTTGTGGGGGTTTCAAATGTATGAGGTTTAAGGAAAAATATCTCCTTTATAAGTATAATTGAGTGGTATTCATTAAAATAGGAGGTTTCAAATACATGAGGTGTTTGCAAATTTTTGTGGGGGTTTCAAATGTATGAGGTTTAAGGAAAAATATCTCCTTTATAAGTATAATATGATATGATACGATATAGATTTTGTTAAATTCTTTCCAAAATAACAATAAAAGAATTCTAATAATATTTGACCTTTTTTTTATGAGAAACCCATACTCTCGTTTGGCGCGTGAACAAAACTCGAGATAACTGGCAAAATATCTGAGCGTTGACGGCCCCACAGTACTGTTTCCGGGCCCACTGCCGTGACCTCCATGCTTTCACAATAACCTTAACTACTTCTTCATATATATTAACACTCAACTCCTTCTTCCTCACACTCTTGAAGTTGAAATCATGGATTCTAACGACATCATCGCACCTTTCATCCTCAAAACCTATCAGATGGTAAACGACCCTTCACTCGATGGCTTCATACGCTGGGGAATCGCCAATAACAGCTTCATCGTCGTCGAACCCCTCGGTTTCTCCCAACGTCTCTTGCCTGCTTACTTCAAACACAATAATTTCTCCAGCTTTGTTCGTCAATTAAACACTTATGTAAGTTAAGCATTCGCAATCAAATCTTTATGTATTTGTTTCTGAGTTTATGTTTCTGTTTCGATTGTGTTTTGAGGTGTTGATGGATTTGGTTAACGAATTTTAGGGTTTCAGAAAAGTGGATCCTGATAAATGGGAGTTTGCGAACGAGTGGTTTTTGAGAGGACAGACGCAGTTACTGAAGAATATAGAGAGAAAAAAGCAGATTCATAATAGAAACTTTATGCGAGGAGAGGAAGATGAAGAAGATGAGATGGCGATGGAGATTGCGAGGTTAAAGCAGGAGCAAAAGGCTCTAGAACAGGAGTTAGTCGGGATGAACAAGAGGCTTCAAGCGACGGAGCGGCGGCCGGAGCAAATGATGGCGTTATTGCATAAAGTAGCGGAAGATCCCGAGATCTTGCCACGTATGATGCTTGAAAAGGATCAACGATCGAAACGGTTGTTGAAAAAAAAGCGACAACGGAGTTTGATTCCTCCTCCTCCGCCGCCGTCTTCGTCGAGGGTGAAGTTCAAGGAGGAAGAGTGTCAAATAATCGAAGGATGGACCACTTCGTCACCGGAGGCTTATTATGGTAATGAACCGTTTTGGCAGTCATCTTCATCGCCGGATACACCGTCCATGGCATGGCCAAAGTCCAAGGTCGGTAGCGGTGGCGGCGGCGCTGCTGTTAACATGGAATACGCACCGGTGAACGGCATTAACAGGTATGTAAATTTTACAGATGGAACCGGCGGTGGGTATGATATAAATTACTCCGGAGGTCCTTCGCCGGAGCCGGACGTTAGGCCCTCGCCGGCTTATCCATTTTCACTGTTGGGTGGCGGTTTTTAGCTACAGTTTAATTAGTTACTGTTATTATAAATATTAGATGATTAGATGATTGTAATTTCTTCCCTATTTTGTACTTTTATATAAAATTATTGAGAATCAAATCTCGATTCTTATTATATTCCCACCATACAACTACACATTCAATTTAACACATTTAAATATTTCAACTTGCCATCATACATGCTACACAATAATTCTCACAATCTATCTTAAGATATCATACATTAAATGCTTTAAAAACCTTAAATATGTAACGTTGATGCATCACTTATTTTTCTTACTAAAATGAATATGGCTTCTATTTTCGTTGATTCAAAACAACTTTACATATGTTAGAATTATTGAGTGGCTACGAAGCCTTCCATATTCAGATAAAGATTTATTCTTTGTATCGGGTCCAATCTAACAACTTTTTACAGGTTATTGAAAAGTACAGGAATATAGATTCATTTTATGTACCTAGCTCACATTAAAAACCCTTAGTGGTAGGTAAGGTGTCATTCCAGATGTCAAGATGAACCAATTATACATGCTGAGTAACATTTTTAAAAAAATACTATAAGTTAATGAATTGAATTTAAAAGAGTCGGGTTGATAATAAACAATACTTTGTGTGATTTCTTTAAATTCTTATAAATAAATAATGTATTGTGCAATACCAAAATTATATTATCATAAAAATTTAGTTTTATCAACAAAATGTTGCATAAGTTAAAGATATATTTTGACATATTTTCTTGTTTAAGATTTTTTACCCTTCCAACACTTTAATCAGGTTAGAAGTTCATCTCCCTCAACCCTTGAACATCATTGTCATTTAGACATCATATCATATTCATCCATTCCTACGCACAACACACATAATTCATCTTTCACAACTATTCTCAATGTACAAATATTGAAAATGTAGTAGAATATGAGCTTGTGTGTGTGAGAGAGAGAGAGAGAGGTGTGGGTTCAAGAAGATGGTGAACCCTCAATACAAGAAATTAAGAGCGTCTACGTGGCTCTTATCTGCCAACTTACTCTAATACATCATTAGATCTAATACGATAGTGATCTACTATAATAAATTAAAACATTGTTTTCCCTATATGTCATTTTCTCATATATTTTGTCATATGTTATTTTGTGGTAATTTTAAATTAAAGTAAATCCATATATTATTTTATGGTTTTTTTTTTCATTTTATTAAATTCCACATAATTTTTAAATGTAATAATTATAATAAATAAAATAATAAATCGATATCATATTCATTAATCCAAACTTTCCTTCTAATTTTAGAATATCTAAATTGAAGCTCAATTATTTTCTTTGTTTATTTATCTCAATTATTTGTTTAAATTTAAAAGAGAATGAACAATTCAATTTCAATAATTCAATATTTTTTTTCATTTTCTTTTAAATTCAAACTTCTCAAATGTTTAGACTTTCATATTTAATTTTTTTTTTCTAAATAAACTCGTGTAATACACGAGTCTCACAACTAATAAGTATAAATAAATTGACCGTAGTTTTTCTAAATGAGAAATTAAATATCCTCCTACTAGTATGAAATAATAACAAGTCTTTTAAAATATGATTAATTTTATCAAAATATGAAACATGTCATAATTTAATATGAGTAGAAGAATAAATAAGACATAAAAAATAAGAGGATATTTAATTTCCCTTTCTTAATACTTACAATTTTGTTAGCTAATTTAGGTTAACTCATAATTTTTGACTAAAAAATAAGAAATAAATTAATGAATTTGGCTATATTTCTCATTTCCTCGTCTTTGTATTGGATTTATGTATACAAAAAGTGTGACAGTTGACGTATACAGTATTAAGGCTAATTAAAATTAATTAATTAAATTTGTAATTTGGTTTGTAAGTGCACCTTGGTTTGAGGGAAGGGGTGCTAAACACAATTTTAAAGGATTTAAAAGGGAAAATAACTTATATCGGTAACTATGTTTCAAAATTGTTCGAAAATATCATTCAAGTTTGGTGTATCCAAAAAACACCATCCAAGTAAAAGCATTTGTACAAAAAATACCAACGAAGTATTTCTTTATTCAAATTTGACCTTGTGGTAACCGGCAATTACCGGTAAAAAATAAATAAAGGAAAAAAACTAGAGGAAATGACTCAAAGGGATAACTATGTTTCAAAATCGTTTAAAAAACTTCATCCAAGTTTGGTATGTTCAAAAAACACCATCCAAGTAAACTTTTTGTACAAAAAACACAAACAAACTGTAACGCCCCGATTCCAGGTATGGATTTAAATAAAATGTTAATTGGTTTAATGTCCCTACTCGACGAGTTGGTTGCCCTACTCGTCGAGTAGCAGCGGGGTTGGAACGCGTATTTAGTGACCTACTCGACGAGTCCACTAAGGTTGACTCGACGAGTAGGAGCTGGCAGATGAAACCCTAAATCCTGGGGTTTTGCACCCTGTTTAAGGAATGATAAGCCTCCTTTGGCCTCTTTGCAGTCATTTGAGAGCTCAGAAAACCCTAATACGTGTGTGTGTGCCCATTGTGTGTTTGAAGCTTGAAGAGAGGATCCTTGGAGGGGGAAAGCTTAGAGGAGAAGGAGATTGGAGCAAGTAGAGTGTGGGAATCAACTCTTATCTCAGTTATCATCTTCTGGAGGTAACCAAATCGCCTTTTCTTTGTGAATCTCTTCTATTGGTTGAGTTTTAGGGTTTTTGATGAGATATTAAGTTGGAAAGATGAGCTATGGGCTAGATCTGAGGTTGTAACTTCAGATCTGGACCCTCCTTGGATTCTATAAGCATAAAGTCTCAGTTTTGGTCATGATTAAGGTCCCTCTTGAGCATGAAGTTCCATTAAGAACTTAAAATAGGCATTTAGAGCCTTTATATCCATGCATGCACGTAAAGTTTGCAACTTTACGTGATAAGCATGCCCTAGAAGCTTGGATCTGTGATTTGGAGCCGCTGCATGGCTCAAAACAAGTCTGTATGGAAAAATGACTGAATGGACTCGGCGAGTCGCAAGGTTGACTCGGCGAGTCACATGAAGATGGCCGTGGACTCGACCAGTTGGATGAACAACTCGGCGAGTCCGATGAAGATTACCATAAAACTCGGCAAGTTGAAGAACAACTCGGCGAGTCGGATGAGTTTTCCCCAAGTTATGAATATGTATGTGTCCGTCGTGTGCAAAAAGGAAAACTAGACGGGTAGCCTTAGAGTGGGTCGAGAATCGGGGAAACTCGACGAGTCACCTCGATGACTCGACGAGTGGGATAGTGCTTCAAGGAACTCGACGAGTAGCTGAGGGTACTCGGCGAGTAAGGTCAACATGGACTGTTGACCTTGACTGAGGACTTTGACTTTGACCAGGGGTTGACTAGTGGGTTATGGAGTACCTTATAAGGTTAAGGACTTATGAGTATATTGTGCTATGGTATTAGGTGGTGGAGCCTGTGCCAAGTGATTCGAGAGTTGGGTTTTATCTTCCGGGTCGACATTTGCGAGGTGAGTTATCCTCACTATACTAAGGGGTCTAAGGCACCAAGGCCGGCCCATTGGATATGTTATCCTAGCAGTGTTAGATGTTGGGTATGAGTTAGTGTTGCATGCTAGTGGTTATGCCAGTTAGGTAGATCTGTAGGACTACCTGTGATGTTATATGATTATTGCATGCTCAGTGGTTATGTTATGTTATGTGATTGTTATATGGGATGGGTTGAGGTTGTACCGCTTTGTGTGGTAGCCAACAAACCCTGGGAGCATTCCAGTTATGGGCTAAGGGAGACTCGTACTGTGGGCTCGGGAGCATTCCAGTTACGGGCTAAGGGAGACTCGTACTGTGGGCTCGGGAGCATTCCAGTTACGGGCTAAGGGAGACTCGTACTATGGGCTCGGGAGCATTCCAGTTACGGGCTGAGGGAGACTCGTACTGTGGGCTCGGGGGTATTACAGTCTGTAGGGCTGTGGACCCGTTATGTGTTGTTCTGTTCAGTTTTGCTATGATATGTTATTGCTGACATGGTTATGTGGACTGTATCTGTATCGGTATTTTGGGGGGTAACTCACTAAGCTTTCGGGCTTACAGTTTCAGTTTATTGTTTCAGGTACATCAGGGGATCGTGGCAAGGCGAAGGCATGATCGTACAGCTCCTCCTGTTATGTTTATGTTTCTGGGAATACTCTGATAGAATGTATTTTGAAAACAAAGTTGTAATGTTTTGATGAACTTGACATGTTTTGAAAGTTTAAATTTGTTCGAAATTTTTGGGTGTTACACAAACTATATGTTTTGTTCAAATATTTCCTATCGGTAACTGGCTCTTACAGGTAAAATGATGACTTGACTTAACTATTATGATATGGCATAATAATTATTAACACAACAATAAATGATATATATACCTCCTTTAAAAATCGATTTAGGGTTTCTTCATGAACGAATGACTTCTTCTTCTCCTATGATTGCTCTTCTTCTTCTAAATTGATGATCTCGAACTCAAGTCCAAAACCCTTATTCTTGACTTATGGCAAAAAGGGCTCCTTTACTCCTGCATTAATGGGTCTCCCTCCCCATAAGGCCCAAATCCATAAAAAGCCCAAAAAGGCATCTAAGACCAACTACAAGGTCTCTAAGGCCCAACATGGCCCACAAACCCCCAACATGGCCTTAAGCCCAAAAAATGACCTGCTACAATCAGGTGGTCCCGATGCCTAACTTAAACAAGTCCATTCATACGCCCAGCATATGCTGAAGCCTCTGCGATCCAGATTTCAAGCCAGTACGCCCGGCGTACTCCTAGCGTACGCCTAATGTACTCGGCTACGGTCAAGAACCGTCAATCTTCTGAAGGCCATAACTTCTTCACCCTAGCCGAGTACGATGGGCGTACGCCATAACTTATTCCGATGGCCATAACGAAATCAGACTTAGAATGAAGAAGTTATGGCCTTCGAAAGATTGGCGGTTGTTGATCCTAGCCGAGTACGTTGGGCATACGCTAGGAGTACGCCGGGCGTACTGGATTGAAATCCGGATCGCAGAGGCTTCAACATTTGCTGGGTGTATGTATGGACTTGTTTAAGTTAGGCCTCGGGCCCACCTGATTGTAGCAGGTTATTTTTTGGGCT